GAGAGAGAGAGAGAAAGCGAGAAACATGTACTACCATCTGTCACACATAAACAAGGGCTTTGTGTTGGAGGAGTAAACAGAGCTGCTAAAAGCCTCCTGTGTAGAGCAGGGTGTTTTGTTTCTGCTCCTTTCACTTGGCTTAGAGAACTAAGCATGAGGTAGTTTCTGAAAAATCTGTGGGGATTCTGGGAATCCTTAATCGTCTACACTAAACTTCACATAACATCTCTGGGTGCTGAGGTCCTATAATGATGCATTTATGCTGCACCTTTCTTCCAAGGAGCTCAAAATGTTAAACAGATGTTATCTTGTTTAGACTCCTCCTAGTGCCCCCCCCCTCTCTCTCTCCCCCACCCCTCTCTCTCTATCTCTCTGATTATGTGCATTTCACAGATAGGAAACTGCCCACAGGACAAAATAAAGGATTGTTCACAGCAACATGGTTAGTGGCGGGACTATGAAACCTCCTGGGTCTCTCCATGTCCTAATCCAGGGTTCACCCATCTACCAGGAATGGCTATGACGTATAGACTGACCGAAAACAACTTTGCTTAACTTTGCATTTTGAAAAATTTCAAACATACACAAAAAGGGGGCGAATAGTATAAAGAATCCCATGTACTCATCACTAGCTCCCTCCTGACACCCACCCACTCTCCTATCCTCTTCTTTTTAGGTTATTTTGAAACAAATCCCTTCCATCCTGTTTTACCTATAAATATTTTAGTATGCATTTGTAAAATGGACTCCTTTAAAAAAACTTAGTATCATGATCACATCTAAAAACTAATAATAATTCCTTAGTATCATCTCATATTCAGCAGTATTAACATTTCCCTGAATTCTTTATACATGTGGGGAAAAACCTCTTCATCTTATGAGTCTATGTACTTATTTCAGTGATGTTATCATTGCTTGAAATAATTTTGGGCCCTCTCATTTAGGTTGTCCTTGGGGCTGGTGTCATTTTTTTTTTTTTGGTAAACCTTTATCGATGGCAAAGTTTTTATTTTTGGGAGTGCATTTGGTTTTGGCATAAGCTACGAGTCATTTGGTACCAAGCCTCAAGAATACGATGTCTAATTGGTAACACTATTTATTCTAATTGCATATTTCATTCTGCTGTCCCTTTAAAACCTTTGATCTATTGCTTTGTAGCTATACATCTTATCTCTGTAATAAATGAATGGCAGGTATGATATTGAAAATCATAAGGGAGTCAATTTTTGTCCTACAGCACACACACAAAAGGGGCCCTGGAGGCCCCCCTGCTGGACGATTTATTTTTTTAGTTGACGGATCCTGGTGGGAGGGGGCACTGAAGGCAGTGACTAGTTAGCAGCAGGCACAGAAATGTTTCAATGTTTTAACAACAGGCATGGCTGTACCCAGGCACACAGGCTGACTGCCAGCCTGGGTCAAAGGTAATGGTAATGAGTCCTGTGAAAGGCTGTTTGCAGAGAAGGGAAATATTCAAAGGGAGGCTCTGGCTTCTTTTCCAGGCAGACTTCTCTGGTGGAGAATGTGCCCATGAGAGGTTCAGGCTAGACAAGATGAAGA